TCAAGGATTTAATTAAACGTACCTGCTCGTCACATGTTTTGTACCGTCACGTCGTCTTGTCAAGAAGATTTTTGCAAATGACGCGCAGATCGATTGCGTAATGGAGAATTCGAGGAAGCCTGTGTACAATTGCGCGAATTGCGATATTGTACTCCCGATACAATTAATAGCCATCCTGCGTTTCCCATACCGAAATAGGACGTTTCCTGCTTCTTTGCGTAACGCGACCAACACAAATGCAAAATGGTGTGTCATGTTCCAATATAAATCGCCTTTTTCCGGTATAATAAACGTATCGGCTATTTGCGAATTTAATTTTGATGAGCGTTTAAGATGAACGCGGCATTCATTAGCTCCTTCCGAAAAGATAAAAATTGTATTTCTTAAAGCTGCCAATGACTCGTTTAGCAAATCGACGAAATTTAACGTGACGCGACGGCAGCAACGAGGCTTCTCGAATTCCGTTATTCGATCTTATTCCATTTCCGTGTCTCGTACTAGAACGATTTTAGAAGAAAGCGTGCCAAAAAACCCGTGCACGTCTCGTCTGAATACGCATGCAGATAACGGGGATTCCCCTTCCAAGAAGGAAACGTTGCACCATTGCTCCCCGTCGCATAGGTATAATTAAATACTTGTCTGCGTAACCCGAGGATAAACGCGTGTTCGGAGCGCGATATGCGCGCAGTGCTAGTCACAGAATGTCTCTCCCTCCTCGCTCAACGATTTCATTCTTGCGTCAGCGTACGCGTGCGAGAAATTACACGTTGCTTTGCCCTAAAGAGCACAGGTGAATTTATAGCCGGTGCAAGACGTGGATTATTTCACATTTACTGATAACCGTAGGAAAGGAACTGGTACTTCGATAAACAGCTGTTAACGTTGCGCAATCGAGATGTCATTTTGGGGACTTATCAGTTTGAATGAATTCGCGACACAATTACGTTCCGATCGAGTTTACAAAGGAGGGAAAAAAAAAATTGTCGCTCGCGCGAAGCGTTCACGGTCGTCACAGTCTCGTGGCACAGATTCCTGTAATTTTATATGGGACCGTTGCGTCAACCGCAGCGGAATAAAAACGTCGTGTGCAATACGCGCGAAAGTCCCCGCGAGCGAAGATGTCGAAGATATTGCGATAATGTCACATAAAGTCAGTCTCTATGCAGAAACGCGACAAAACCAGCTGCGACTCGGCCTTCATCTTAATCTCGGTTTCTCAAATATCGCCGAGCGAAGACCTCGACGGTAATCCAACGATGTCATTTTTACATCGGATCAAAGAGAGTTTGTGGAACGTTTCTGGAATGAATCTTCTAAACTGGCCCGAAAAGCATTTAATACGTGACGTATTCGGCATCTTATTAGGTTTTTGAATTATTAAGATTAATTACAGACTGCGTGCGGTACGGGCTAGAGAGGGGGGGAGGGGGATTTGTAACAGCTCTCTTATTAGCGAAATTTCGCTATCTACGTACCGTTATGCACCTCCTTCTGTGCGGTTACACCGGATTACTTTAATTACGCTCGCGCTCGATTATCGGGGCACAGTTACCGCGGGGGAAAGCAAAAGGGACACGCGTGCAGCTCGGTACCGCGGTGAAATAAATAAGCACGTGGCTATACGCGATAATTCGGAGCACGGAAAGCCAGTCGTACGTGAAATTCAGTGTGTAGGACTGTAGCGGCCGCCGTAGCGCTAGCCGACTAACATTATTTCGAAGGGATTTAAACGGTTCGCGCGGCACGGGGAAAAACCGGTTCTCCCCGTCGTCGCGCATGACACCGGGTAATGGAATTCCTTTAAGTACCGTTCAGAGTTGCATCAGGATCCAAGGTCATTATAAGTATCCCTCCGCGGGCAGCGATCTTTATCCGAGCGCGCGCACTCGCCGCGCCGGGTGCGATAGAGAAGCGCCGCGATACGATCTCGCGACGATACGCGGGCGGAAACCGGCGTCTCGTTAAGCCGGTACGCTCGGCACTTGTGAATCCGACCATATTACGTGCAGTTTTTGTCTGCGCGCCGCAGAAGGTTGCGCACCAACACCGGCGAAACGTCAGAAAAAAGCCGCAGTGTCATTCGGCTTGAAAGAAATATCGCGTCTCGTTCCGTTTCTGCCTCCGCAACGCGGACGTGGAGCGATCTTTATCTGGATACTATTCCAGTTGCGACCGCGGAGTCATTATAGAAAAGTGTTAATAATAAAATTATATAAATTATACGTGCACGTAACGAAATCCAATCTATCTTGGGCTGCATATGCGCAACTTCCGTATCTATTTGATACGATGTAATAGCGCATTTTAGACCGATATTATGCCTACATGTTGCCTTTTTACATTGTAAGTTAGTTTTTTTATGAACCGTGTATGCAAAATGCCCCACTTATCGCGCATAATTATTTAATGTCGGATTGATTACCTTTTGCCTACACGCGGAGAGAATTTTCTCTTAAAATTTATCCTGAAAGTGATGTAATCGCGGGACAACTTGGTATTTCGAAGAATTTTACGAGTTGTTTTTTGGAACTTAAAGAAAATGCTCAAGAATTCTGTCTTTCCCTAATATAATACGCGTGTTCTCGTTTGATTTTTTAAGAACACGCAGAAGTCCATCGACTCGAACGACACGGGGCACAGCGACAGTACCACCGCTGCGCAGACGACGACCGGCGGCAAGGAGTCAAACATGCGGGAAAACGGCAACGGCGGCGTGAACCACGTGCACGGCACGGGTAACGGCAGCCTGGGCGTCGAGGATGGCACGAATAACAGCGAGTCCCGATCCCAGGGTCTGAACCTGACGATGAGCGCGAAGGAGCTCAGGGAGATGCTGGCGCAGCGCAAAAAGTACGACCCGAAGAAGGAGTCGATCGGCTTCAAGGACAAATTCGACATCGTGCAGAAACTGTAGACGCATCCTCACGCCTCTCCTGTGACTTGTGGGTAGTCCTTTTCTCATTCCTTTATTCCTTTCTTTTATTTTTCCCTCGTTATCGCCGCCGAGCGCAAGGACGACGGCGACGACGACGGTTCCCTCCCTACGATGTAATCGCATTTTGTTGTAACCGATCAAATTGTTGTTATAATAAATACACGATTGTTTATTATCGTGGACGGCCGAGCATTCACATCGATATCGTAACATACATACATTTAACCGCAGTACCGAAGGTACGTGCTGCGGAGAGTATTAGGATAACGAGAAAAGATTACGTTGCTTGTATAAGTGTATTGTTAATTTTTAGTTTACACGAAGGTTTACGTGAATTTACATGTGCAATCTTTGTCGCTTCCGCGTCGGAAGTTGCGACAGATTTCGAGTCACCGCTCTACCAACATTTAACGTAGAGCTATGAAATGCGAGGAGAGTTATTTTTTAACGAAAGTTGCGCACTTTTACTTCAGGCCATTAGTATTTCTGTTTCTTTGCAACTTTTACCATAGCTGTTACATGGTAGCCCGAGAATATCGTCTTTTTCCTTCCCGGAACAACAATTTAGTCTTGAAGATGTTCCTGTTGTAATTAATTACAACGCTTCCCGATTAGTGATAATTAAATCTCACTCTTACGACTCGATTATCCACGGTGTCGTCATATTAATTTCTAAGCACCGTCTCGTCCGTTAAATTCGGGAGATCCGTTCGCCGCTTCTTCCCACGACTTTCTCCGGCGAGAATTGATCGCCGTCTCCTGATGTAGTAATCGTCTCGAACGTTACGTCGATGATGCGAATTCTTCGCCGGTTGAGGATGGTTTCTAATTCCCAATCGCACGCAAATGAGAAATAATCCCTGATAAAATATTCTCGCGATGCATATTGACAAATTGCAAATTTACCTCGGGGTCTCGACACTTTATCGACCAACGGATCCAATGTTTAATTGATCACGAAGCATGCTCGATAAATCGCGGCAAGTCAAGTTGACGTAAACCGAAGTGCTAACAAAACGTACGATCATTTAAAAGGAACTCGATCTTAACACCTCTCTTTTATTTCGCGAACGCTAATCGGTCCGACTTACCGTTCGATTTATCGCAGCCGCTCTCGGTTAAGGCTGTGTAATGGGGATTAACACGGCTGCCAGGACGACAGTTTGATGTCGACACACGGAGAGTTCGACGCGCGCGGAATCTCTCGTTAATCGTGCGCGAAGCGTAGATAATGTCCGCGTGAGTCGGCCGAAACAGCCGTTGCAAAACGTTGATTTCGACGTTGCATTCGGGGATTCGTAGTTTTGGCCCGTAGGCCGCGGCACGTCTGTAAAGGACTCGCAAGGACGGACGCTCCTCGCGTGCGCGCTGCAACGGGTCTATGAAGTCAGTCAGTCGCCCGTCGTGCGGTCCAAGGACGAGCCGATCTGGGAGAAAGTACAGCCACACGTCGGACGAGTCTCGGTTAATCTCCGTTATCGAATTCAGGACGCGAGTCGGTTTTTTTTTCTCCTCTTTACGTTGCGCGTTGCGGCACCAAGCGGATCGACTCAGGGCACAATTGAACATCCGTGAATTTTATAAATCACGAGGCGTCGTATCTCGTATTTCGCACACGCCTGATTCGGTGCTTGACGTAGTTAATTGAAACACTTAGATTTTTGTGGAGCGTTGCAACAATGCATTTGTCGATTACACTTCATTGCAGTAAAGAATTGCGTTGATTAAATAATCCAATATGATTCCGAGTCGAAATTTTGGTATTTTGACACTTTTAAGGACATATTTTTTTACTCCTCCCTTGAATCTTTAATTCTAAAAAATTTACTTCAGCTCCCACTTAAAAGGACCTACTTTAATGCTAAATTGGCAAAAGTAGAAATTTCCGACACCATCAGTTTTAAAGTAGGAGCAAATTTTGTACTTGCAGTTCGACCTCTTTTACTGTCTTAGGTCCTACTATATAATAGAATTAAAGGTTCAACATAGCCAAAACAACACAACCAAAATTTCGACCCGGGATAGTTGCCTAAATAATATTGATAATTCGACGTACGACACACAGCCAAGCTGACGCAAGACAATTGCAAAAGTCAATAAAATCCTTCTCTTATTTCTCTAAAATGCATTTATCTCAGTCGATTATCTTTAGTGTTCCAGTAAGATAATATCGAACGATTCTATTCGCAACGTGATTTTAGTTTCAAGGGGGATAATAAGAGAGATAATCCAAGATCCAAACGTATATTTTTGATAAGAAACGGTACCACACCCGATAAACGTATAGTGTTAGTGACTAATCGGACCATTCCAACTCCACTGTAGTCATGACTTAATTGCCAGCTTAAGGATCTAGTTAACTCAGGTGATAGGATGTGAATATTGCTTCGTGATCAGTGCAATGATGTTGCGTGTCTTATCGGTGCATTTAATAACCGCGAGAACAAACGTGTGAAATTTTTTATAGTTTTATCACTTAAAAAGAAAATCGAAGCTTTTAAGTATAACACGATACAAAAGATAAAGTTACATTTTTAAGAAAGTCAAACGGCTCGTTTATAATTTTCTAGTGCGACTCGTATCTACCGTCGTAATTTTTGCTTTGTTTCGTGTCGTTCCATGTTTCCGCATTTCTTTTCCTTTAATTATAACTTCCGGCTAACGATTGCCACGGTCGTTTATTGTCGCACGTCTCGTGGGAGAGAACCCCATGCTAGCAGTTAATTAAATGCATTTTTACATGCGTCACGCGTGATACGATATAAGAAAAAAAATCGCAGTAAAGGTGCGACAAGAACTGGGGGAAACTCGAAGGTAGTTAATATGAGGGAATAGAAACAATAAACTCGATTGTAGTCCTCATTCCTGTTCACTCGACGTATTACCGAGTGCCTGCAAAACAACGTGAAATAAACATTTAAAACGTGCTGCGTCCACAACGGAGACACTTACAAATAGATTTACGTTCCTCTGAATGTTTCTTCGCTCGGTGTGTGCACCTAAAATGTCCATTTCGACAACGAAATCAATCAAGCACGTGCCTCGTTCACGGAGCGAATATTATCAGAGTGCGACGATAACAGTGGCTCGGCAAACAGGTACGGGCGTTCTGAAATTTATAACTTGCTTTCGTGACGCGCGTTCGATAAACCGACTCGTCGAATACGGAGACGTTGCGTAATCAGCGGAGCAAGAATGTCGCGTTACAATGGCAATAAGTGAGAGAGACAGAAAGAGAGAGAAGCCGTCTTTCGGTATTCCGCCTTCGCTGTATTCCTCGGCGCTTCTCGCCGAGACTCGCGGAAAAGTTGGGTACATAACTCGAGACTCTCGTCGCTAAATATTACGACGACACGTTGCGCAACCTTCAATTATCGCCATCGTTGTCGTCGTCGTCGTCGTCGTCGTTATGCATTCACCTGTTGAGAGCGCGCGCAGGCGTTTCCGAGATAACCGAGCATAGATCGTGTCTTTTCTTGCATGAATATGCACGCGGTCGTGTGGACGAAGATAATCTCGTTAATCTATCGGAAAAGTCATCTTTTAATTTGATTTAAATATACGAAGATTATCGAAAACTGTTAGAGGCCAAACGGCCGCAACGATAGAATATTACCAACTAAATTTTCCCTTTGCGTAAACGAGAAGCTATAATTTTGCACGTAACAAAGTTTGCGAGAAAATGAAGAAATGTCTATTGCATTAAAATATATTAATTGACCTCAATTTGTTACGCAGCTTAATTTCGAAAGTGTTAAGCAACGCATTTAAAATTTAGCCAGTGTTGCCTCGTAGGTTTATGGCATCGCCAATGTTGTGCATCGTTGAGTGCTTCCTGTTAAAACGACGAATTCGCTCTCGCCAATAGCCACTATATTTTAGGTACTCCGGCGGGTCGCTGCAATTTATTACGAAAATAGTAGCCGTATCAAAAGCGGCGGTTAGATCCACGTGTACGCATACGCACGTACCTGTTATCCTGTGCTAATTACATCTGGTGCGCGTAGACTGTTATGTCATTCAGCGACTTACCCGAGTGAAAGTATAATAACGAGGCACCCGATCGCGCGTGAAGCGGAGAGTTTGGTGAACGAAAATACCGCATTTGTGCGTATATCGCAATATATTCTTGCGTTAAAAAGGCGTCGCGGGGCGTGCATTGAAATCGCGCGAAATGAGCATGATTTCTACCTTGCGTAGATAGGCATAGGGAAAAGAAGCTTGGTGCGAGCGCGCTCTGGGACGAGAAATGCGACAGGAGAAAGAATTTGCATCTCGAACGAAATCGTCGTTTCTTCTAACGGTATTTCGCAAGGCTTCCGCGTGTACTTAAAAAGTCTTGGGCGTCGTGTAGTAATCCGTTTGATAATCTGGGCATCGATAACGCTTATTTTGCGAGCGGCGTAGATCCGGCAGTGTGGAAAACAAGATTTGAAAAGGAGAGCCAGCCTGAAACCTGTTTAGGAAATTATTTCAGAGAGTTATTATTTCGATGAGTGTTACACTATTTCTGAAACGGAATTCCTAAAACTGCTAATTATGCCGCTCGCAGAATGGACGCTTCGTGCGATCGCGATTGAAATCAACAGGAAAAGGAATGGCCGCTAATGTGCGACATTTAGAAGCCAGGACTTGGAGTAACCTTGTGATGCTCTCGCTCGTCGGGTTCTCGAATGCGACAAGCGCGAAAAGTGTGCGGATCCTTTTTTCTTCTGTTTCGTTTCTTCAACCCGTTCTCGTTTTTAGGTTCTCTTCTCGTTTCTAGGACCTTGAAGAATCTAATCATACCGGCCTCTGTAAATACTAGACTATCGTGCATCAGGGTAGGCGCAACGATCAGATGCGGGGAGAATGACTAATGATCGTTATCTGCGCGAATAAATAAATCTTTCGTGCAATGAGATTCGCTCGCTATAATTATCGGCACGGTACGTACGCACTCTTTCGTGGCAGAAGCGCGCGTTGCGCTAGTAGTGCAGTCTTCAAAGCGAATATTCATATGTAAATGTTTATGGATAAAGGCTCGACAATCACAGAGTTCGTTACATAAACGCGGGCTGTTAAACTCTAAGAATATACATAAAATATGTTGTTGACTTCGTTATGAATTGGTATCGAATGTCTTATCTTATCCGTATCGGTCATGCAACGCATAAATATAACATTATCATTTTTATCAA